CTCTGAATGTCATAAAATCAGTGATTTTATCTGTGAAATTACAAACTGAACATCTGTTGGCGAATCCATGGCTTTATATTTCCATAGTTTTCAATTTGTTATTTTTACAAACACATCATAAATTTTCTGTTATAGATGTTAGTTTTGGTGTGCCACCCCTGGTTTTTCAGTGGCCCCCCCTGAAAAAAGATCTGCAGGCGCCACTGCAGGCCCGTCCTGCATACCTGACTGTAAAAACTATGTTGCTTTGATCACATCAGCCCCACTCCCCCACATCGCAGCTTCACTGCTGGTCCGGTGTGACACATATATCTGCTGGTTTCCGCTGCTTTGTCGCTTGCTTTGCAGCACAAAACACAAAGCACACAACTCATACAACAAAGGAAACTATCTGCTTGACCAAAGAGCTAATGTAGGAAAACCCCAAAACTTTAGGTAAATTAGATGCTTTGAGAGCAAAAACATGTAAAGATATGGTGAGTCAACAAGTCATAAATTTAATAAAGTTTGGCCTCTTTGTTTAATCAATAAAACTTGAGGTAAGAAGTTTTATGTGTCTGAAAGTGAATTCTGGTTTAATGTGTTCATATTTAAAGTCCCTCCTCCATCTATAACTGGTGAGATCACTCTGGACCAACTCACTGGACTTCTTTTTGCATCGCAGACACAGAAGTGAGAGCAGACTGAGCGAAGCGACTGAGAAGACAGTCAGGACTGCAGCAGGACTGGACTCTCCGGTCATACCTGAAACAACACAAACACACAGATGACTGGTCAACGAACAGACTGAAGGAGATGTGCTTCACCTGCTAGCTACAGGATGTGGTTGGCTCAAACGAAAGTGAAACGAGCGCTTGGGACTCACGCCCACAGACGGGGCTGATTAAAAGTCTTCACGCCTCAAAGAAAAGCTCAAAAATTCAGAACATGAACATGAAGATGGTCTGTGAGTTTCTACGAGCAGCTAAAAAGACCTTCGTTCCTAAAAAGTAATGCTGCTTTTTTTAATTTGTAGCATCTCCTACATAAAACACTGCAAAAAATAAAATGAAATAAAAATAAAAATACAAACATATAACAAAAAACTAGGGAAATTTCAGCCGACATCGATATCCAATATAC